AACTTTGTATGAGTACAGAGGATATCCATGTGGTTTCAATTTTCTAATACACAAACACTTCATTGTACAATAAATGACAACAGGCTCTCAATGATCTAAAGGCACACTGTTTTTCCTGCTTGATTTTCTGTTCGACTTTTAACCGTGGTGATTAAGTTTCCTGTCCCCCACAACAAATACTTCTCAACTTATTGAGAGCAGCCAAACAAGTTAGGTGCTGTTAATTTTTTAGAAACTCAAACAGCATAATCAAGTCTGTCTTTCAACAGTTAAAATATAAAACTCAAATGCAAATTCATAAAACTACTGTTTACCTTCATTTCTTCCCATTTATATATGGAAAACCACCAGTTTTTAACTCAGATTAAAAACTCTGAATGCATAACTTAGTTATCAAGCTTATTTATACAAGTTGAAAAAAAAAAGCTTAATAAATTTCCCCATCTTTTCATTAAGACTAAACAGACCTACTTTTCTCTCTTTAAGGTATGATATTAGATAGTATACAGTAAAGGGACTTAAAAAATGCCTTACTCTTTGAAAAAACTGATCACCTATATAAAGAATCTCATCTTTTAAAATATATCCTGAGTATCGACCCAATTTCTTAAAAGTATGTGCACTTCAGTTTTTCCGAGATTGCAGCATCATGTGGTCCAGCCACCACTCATGAGGTGAGCTCCAAATTTCTCCTAGAAAGTTAAAGACTGCAAAAACTGACAGGGCCTTTACATTCTCAAACACTCATACTTCCGATGCAAAGGCCAGGAAGGGTAAACGATTTGCTCAGACAGTTCTCTGGTGCCAGAGCAATAATGGAACACAGGGCTCCTAACTACTGGCCAGGCTTGGAGACCCTAACATCCAAGCAGGAAAGGAGCTCCCATCGTCTGGAAAACACCGTGAGCCCTGTCGGCAGCAGCAAAGGTACGAAGCAAAGCTTTGATCTCACTTTTACGCCTCAACTCCCCGACTGTGGCAATGACCAAAATAAGGATCTTTCCTTTTCCCAATACTTTTAGCTTCTCTTCTGCTTTTCTCCCAAAGGATGAACACTATAAGCTGACGAATTCCTCTTCCCCACTTAGCAACTCTGGGGATGGAAATGGAAATGTCCTGCTAATCCCTCTTCCTCCACCCATACTTCTTCCTGGGTCTGCACCTCAGAACCTCCGGACCTTGATGCCAGGCCTGAAACTAAATAAATTGCCTTTAAAACACTTCTGCACATTATAGGCTTCTCACACAGAAGGCTTCATAATAGGATTGGAAAATAAAGCCTAAAATACCAAGGTGTGGAGAGGTAAAGAGATCCTCTGGGATTTGGTTGGTTTTGTTGTTTCTGTAAAATGTTCTCATATGTATGGACACAAAATGCTAGAGGCACTTTTTTTTTTTTTTTAAACCATTCAATAGTAGTCACTATTTTTATCAGGGAACTTATTCCTAAATATTTATGACATGGTTTTAATTTGCTCAAGGTTGTACCTGTTTAAACAAGGGTGTTCCCTACAGAGCATTCTCATCAGCTGGAATGGCTAGCAGGCTTTTTGTCTTAGTCCCTATGAAACAGGCCGACTTTTCCATTTCCTGTTCTGATTTTTAACACAGAGAAATCTGTATACTTGACGAATTTAGTAAGACACTTAACAGCTACTCTTGAAGTTCTCAAATTTCATAAACCTAATATGATTTTAAATTGCTACTTCTAAAATAAAAACCAGTATAAATAAAAGTTCTTATTAGAAAAGTTCAACTTTTTTAGTTACCCTTTTATCCCTGAAGATTTATACTTCTTCTTCCAGTAAAATTCAAGACAAAACTAATCTCTTCATATGTGGTGAGGGCACATTATGAATTTAGTTTATAACACTTAAGTTTTATGTAGCACTTAACCATTTTTTAATTTAAAAATGAAATAATTCATATATAACAGGCATCCAACTGTATATTCATACATGCATGCTTCTGAATAGTTTATAAGTTGGTCTATGCACATATCTCTTTCCCCAAAGAGCCTTTACATGGCTCAAAGGGCTGTGTCTTCGACTTCTTTTTCTACCTTCCCTGTGTATAAGGTATGTCCACAAACGGCTCAGTGCTTTAATGACAGAATGGTTAGTTCTGAAACCAAAACCTGTCTTTCTGCTTTCTGACATATTTAATTTTACGTTAGAATAACTCATAAACTGCTATAAAGCACAACAGAATTATTTTATTCTTACCAGAATTGGATACACGCCTGATCCTCTGAGAAGATAAAGCTCGATCGGAATTAATATTTCTGCTGTCAATATTCCGCCTCAAACAGGAAACAGAAGGTCCCACTTTGGCTTTTGGACCTGGTGTCTTCCTCAAACTGGAGAAGCCGGGCTTGGGTACATTCCTGCCCGAGGGGATTGCAGTTTCTGAAGCAGAACCCTGCGAACAAGTTAAGATTTTAGTCCAGATCATGCCTTCCTCATACCATTTTCGTGTGGTGCTAGCTATGTGAAAAACAATTCAAGTGGATATGCCAGATGAATATTTAATTTTCATTTTTACTATGAAGAAATTCAAACTCTTCATACTCTTCAATTCATCAAGAGGAAGCTGTTCTTAAAATTTAACTTTAGCCACTCATCTCAAGATTTATCTCTTCCCATATTCGCCACAACATACCCAGGTACCTAACTAAAAGAATCAAAGTTTTTTCTAGGTGCTTCCTTTCTTACTTCCTAAACACCTCTCGATGGCATTCTCTCCCTTCTCCATCTACCTCAGGACAAGCCTTTTGACTCCATCAGTGAAACTGTTCCCAAGATGACCAATATTGCAAGCTACATCATTCGGTCCTTTCCCTGTAGGCCCTCTTTATGGCATCCGATGATGATGACTCCATCCTCCATCTTTCTTTGGTTCCTCCAACACAGCTCTTCCTAGTTTTCCCTCTACCTGTCTGGTTATTTCTTCTCTGGGTCTTCTTCTTCTATATCTTTAAATGCTAGCTAGCCATCATGAGGGTCCTAAACTTGGCCCTGTTCTATTTCATCATCATATATTCTCCCTAGATGATCTGTCCACTGTTTAAACTGCCACCTATACACAGTTATATACAAAGTCCACACATCCAAGCCAGCACTCTCTCCACAGTTTCCCATATATGTAGCTTCTTTCTGCATTTGCCCACTTAGTATCCTTCAGGCATCTCTACCGAACAAGGTCAATTGTAATCAATATTATTATTATCAATATTATTATCAATATTATTATAATCAAAAACAATATTATTGTTTTTACCAATCAATGTACTGCCCTGCATCTACTCATTTAATCCTCATAATAACCCTGTGAGGTTCATACTGTTATCGCACTCTACTTTACAGAAGAACATGAACCAGTTTCTAAAACTTAATTTTAACCACCAACCTCAAAATTCGCCTCTTCCCATATTCACAACATACCCAGGCATCCAACTTAAACAATAAAAGCTATTCTAGGCGCTTACTTTCTTACTTCCTAAAGCCCTCTTGATGGCATTCTCTCTCTTCTCCATCCATCCCAGGACAGGCCTTCAATCATTTCTTGCCTGGATTACTGAAACCATGACCTTAGGATCTTTCTGGTCTCACCAGCCTTTGATTCACCTTCCATTCTACTGCTAAGGCAATCTCTCTAAAGTCCATATCAGGTTAGGTAGCTTCCCCCTCTGTCTTCCGGATAAAGCCAACTCTTGTTAATAAGGCGCACCAAGCCCTTTTAGATGTGGCAGTCCCTACCATCTTCATCAGTTTATTCCTTACTGTTCATGGGTCTGCAGTGCCGACTCCCATCATACTCACTACCTGGAGTCCTCTCAATGAGGATATCCTGCTTCTTCACCTTTTTATGTGTTATTCCCTCTACCCGTAATACCCTTCCAATTCGCACATGCCCTTTAAGTTCTGGAAACTAACACAGTTTCTCCCCTAGAGGACCTTCTTGACAACTCTCCCCACTGCCATCACCCCAATTCCACCTCATGTAGCACAGCAGCCTATTTAAAGCTCCAACTTTGTACTTAACATACCCTTTTGGGTTACTTTCTGATGTTACCCACTGCATTAAGGCACTAAGGCTGGCCAGGGGCTTTCTTCTCTATATCTCAATAGTCACCATCACATATAGCACACAGACACCTAATAAATGATCTCGTTCTCTAATTCCAGAATCCATGCTCTCAGCATCTATGCTGCATATTCTCCACTAATACCATTCTTTGTTTCTTAAGTCATAAGAGGATAATTTCCAGTAGATGTGGTTAACTTCATAGATTAGGTGAATTAAAAACTTAAGAGGGTAATATCCTAAGAGAACACTGGAAAACAACACAAAATTGGCCAAGAAAAGCAGGTGATTGATTATACACAAACTTAAAAAAGGTCTTGAATCTCTACTGAAAACTGGCTAAGGTAATCCCTTAGAGAAAACCTTTTTTAAAAAAGTAAACCAAACTTTTAACCAACTTACAGAAGTGAATCTTTAACAAATCAGACTTACTCTGCCTTTCAGAGCCAACATTCCACAAGATTTTGAAGCTCTGTGGTGTATAAAGCAGAAAGGATCAAGTCAGGGAACCTGATTTTGAATCTAAATTTTACTACTTAGTAGTTGCTGTGTATTTTAAGTAACTTCTCCGAAGTTTTAAAATGTGGCTAACAACTACCCTGTTATTACTGGAAAGAGTAAATGACAGTGTATGAAGCACCTGGGAAAACTAAATGACATAATATATATGACACCCGAGCAAAGTGTTTGGTCCAGAACAGGCATCAAAAAAATAACGCTTTCTTTCTTTTTAAAGAATTTACCACTTCCTTTATCTAACACATTATCACCAATACATAATCTGTGTAATTGGTAGCTACACCCAACCTGCATCAAATTAAAATCAAATTCCTTCTTCCAAGTAAGAACCCTTCTTTTGTTTCAGATAAACCCTGACCAACCATCTGTGAGGTGGTAGGCCACCTGAGGATTAAGTAAACTCAAGGCCCAATTTAGTCTGACACCAACAGAACACACTGAAAATGAACATCCCTCCAAAACTGTCTCATCTAAGATCCAGGGCAGATTTTCAATTCTTTGCATGTTGCTGAAGTAACCAAGAAACATAGAAGTTTGAGTAAAACATGAAACAAATGTTCACTCCTCTACAATAAGCACAAAGCCTGTGGTCTGTGATGGTTTGCCCTGCCCCTTCCCCACGACACATGGAAATATGTAAGAGGAATTAGTAACATTAGAGAAAATGGTGCTTGAGACCTTATCATGGGGAAAAAATAAGTTTTTTAATACCAGTTGATACGTAAAAGTGTCAGTGTCAGGGCTGAAAATGTGAGAATCCGAACTACAAGATTCCTAAGATGAAAAGTGCTTCTTCTCCATGATTTGTTTGGAACCATTTCGACCTGGTGATTCTATCACCTTACTTCAATATTACCTTGTGAGCCTGAAAAACAGGCTTTCATTCTGCACATGGGGAACATAAAGCTAAGCTTTATCAATGCACACATCAGAAAAACTTCTAATTTCAAAATTATATAGCCAATTTATATTCAAGGCAAATGCTATTTAAAGAAACTTCATGCTAGTTTTTCTGGTGGTTGGAGATAAATGCACAATAAAAGTCTCCCATAAATCAAGGAGGAATAAGTGTATTGCTTTTATGTATATCTATAAACACCAAACTAATGTTGATTAGAATAATCAGAGATGATAGTTTGATTTAGCAAAATATCAAATTACAAATGATATGAGTTTCCTAAGTTTGACTTCAAAAGAATTTAAAAATAAAATCTGAGTTTTGAAATGATGGGCAATCTCATTAATTTAGACATAGTTGTGATATACCATTCTCCTAAAAAAAAAACAAAAAAACGATAAAAACTAGAACATCTCTAAACTAATCTAGCTCAAGAATATTAAGTCTTTCTTAACCTTGTCTCCTAAAAGGAGTTAATCCCCTATGCAACCTGAAAATACTTCTAAAATAAGCTCTTTAACACGTTACCACACTTTATATATTTTGTTCCTCAGACCTGAGCTCTTCAAACAGATGTCTCACATCTGCCCTCTTGCCCTGGCACCTAGCTCCATTCCTGGCCCAGAGGACAGAAGCCCAAGAAAAGCCTATGTGGGGCTGAAAATACACCTAAGTTCCCACTGCCAAAATTAGGCATGAAGACGAGTACACAGTCCTAAGAGTGGCCTGCCAAATGTTTTTAAAACTCAGAAAACTAGTTTCTTCAGGCTCTTGTCAAAATATACACATGTTTAAAGAAAAATAATCTTTGAACTTCACATGAATTCTTTTTTAAATGGAACTATCTAATTCCCCCAAATATCAGACAGGTGCTACAGAAAACATACTGCTTTTTCACTGTATTAAGAATAAAATGGGTTTTGTTTATTTTACGTACCAGGAAGCAACGCCTTAGAGCTGAAAGAGACCTCAGATATCAATCACCTTTGGGTCTCAAAAGATTGAGCTGCTTCTTCAACGAGAGATCAGGAGTTATTTTTATGTTGATACTGTTTACCAGCAGCTCTTGCCCTTTCTTAAATGTAGCCTAATACATTTTAAAGTTCATAAACAAACTTCTTCATAAATATAAAATGTAATCAGATGTTTAGCTTCAAATAACTAATCACACTAAAATATTTACCTGCTCTTTTAGCTATTATATTAAAAGGTACATTAATACTCAGTACCAAATACTGAATTCAGGATTTTTTTCCCCAATATGCAGGTTTCCAATTAACATTCTAAAATGCAGAAAAAAGAATTACCAAATAATATATTAACACCTGAAAGCAGATTTTGCACACCTAGTTTTGCAATATTATTGACTATCAGTGACTAATGTAATTGCTAATACCGCTGTTTCCTCCACCATTCCCTGAAGCAGGAAAAAATTTCACTTACCAAAAACAGAGGACCATACTCAAAGGTCTCATTCATAATTTCCTTTTTTAGCTCTTGTTTCTCCATTGGAGTTCCATTTTCACTTTCACCCTTCTTTTCAGGGCTAATCCCATTGCTGTTGGAAGCATATGTCATTTCCAAAACTTCTGTGCTTCCCATTTTAACAGGGAATATGCCTTTGATCTTCTGAAGGAATGTAGCCACGGACGGAGTCGTACATGCTGAATTAGCAGAACTTGCCTTGCTAACATCTTTCTGATTCGATTTCACGGCAGATGTTGTTCTTGGAACCTTGTGGGAAGCATTTTTAGAATGAGTTGCAACATGCACAGCTTGGCTAGTAATGAGTTTATTAAATTGTTGCTTATGTGTCTTGTTAATTAGGATTTCTGCTTTTGTGTCTGCATTCAAGTCAGATCTTGGTGTTTTGCTCAAAACTGTCAACTGTCTTGAGGAAGCCACCGACGAGGGTGATGCACTGGTTAACCGAGGTCTGGGTGAGACCTTTGATAAAGAAGGATCTTTGGGCTGCAATGCTGGTCTGGACATAACTTTTGCTTTGACATTCTTGAAGTTTGGTCTTGGGTAACTTATAATTTCGGTTTTTCTGACTTTGCTGCCTATAGGGGTATTTGTTTTGGTTGTTGATTTTCCTAGATTAGGTTTAGACATGTTCATAGGTACTCCCTTCAACGCTGGTACATTTCTAAGCTCTCGACTCTTCTTCTCCACTTTACTACATTTCCCTATCCCTTCGATAGGTGAAACAGAAAAGGTTGCATTCGTGGGTTCCAGGACTGGTGTGGACATGCAAATTGTGTTATTTGTGCTCATGAACACATCATTTGTATCCCAAGTAAATTCAAAAGGGGAAGCCACCTTTTGTCTTGATGGGCTACTTGGTATCAAGTCTACAGTACAATTTTGGGTTTCCAAATCCTTTTCATTAGAGGCAGTCTGTGTGTCTTCAGCCACAGAAACTTTATGTTCTGGGTTCAACACTTGGGCTTTACTTTTATCTAAAGCTGGCACCAGTAAAGGGCAGTCATCATCTATGAGACAATCAGACACTGTTTCTCTTAGATTCTGGCCCATTTCCTTTTGCCCATATGAGCTCTCCGAATGTGTCTCACTATTTGGTTCATCTTTGGATAAACAAAAGAACTCCTGTAATACAGATCCATTGGGAACATCCATGCCATCAGAAACTGGTGTTAGGGCTTGTATCTCTTTTTCTCCTACTAGTCTTTGCTGTGACCCATCTGTGTACTCACTGGTGACATTTCTTGAAGAATACTGACACTGATTTTCAACATCTGGAACAAAAACATCAGTTTGCATCACTACATCAGAAAATGCTGTGTAAGTTGTGTCTTGGGCCTCTGCTGCTATAGTTTGAGGGTTTTCAAAGCTGTCTCTATCATAACTCATTGCTTTCACATGTATCTTATCAGAACTGGAAGATGCATGAATGGAACAGGATAAAGATTTACTTCCACTTAAATCAGTTGGCAGCAGAGTTCCAGTGGTAGGCAATGACTGACTCTTCCCAGTGGCATGATGTGTTATGAAGGTGCAGTTAACATTTTCCACTTTCATGTCAAATGTTTGGTTTAACTGTAAGGCAGCTGGGTAGTCTGTACAGTTCAAATCATCATCATTAGGTTTCCACACAAAAGGCAAAGATGTCTCAACACTCTGGTCCTGAAATGGTTCTAGGGAATGGTCATTGTTAGGCAAGTACTTGGGTGCCTCTGTATTTACAACTTGTGCAGAGGGCTGACATGTGGAATCTTTATGCATATGTAATACTGCCTTACTAATAAAATCACTTGAAGACTTTTGGTGAGCATGTACATCAACACACTCAGGATTTAAAGAAATATTTTCACCAATGTCCGTAGCAGAGTTGGTTTCATAATCAACCACCATGTCATCTGGGTTGGCAGAATTCCAAATCACATTGTTGGGTAAAGAGTTTTGTGTAGGTGATGATTTTTGGTTGTATGTATATGTGTTTCCATTTTTATCACTGATTAATAAGGACTGCAGTTTATCTTCTGTCTTGTCATCTGAATTATCATCATTCATCCTGAATATTAACTTTAAACCTCTGCCATTTTATTTCTTCTTTAAATTCTTTCAAATAGGAGGGAAGGAAATATCCGTTTCCTAAGTTTTTCAGCACAGTTGAAAGTTTCTTAGTCTAAGATGCTTTGAAGTTGAAATGACTTCTTGCTCCCTGGAAGAAATAAAATGTTTAACTCAAGTAAATATTAGAAAAATTAACAATTCAGTACTTGATTAATTTCGATCACTTTACTTTTACATTTAGAACCTACAACTATGCATATGGGCAATTATTAGCTAAAGTATCATCCCCCTTTCAAAAATACTTTTTCATTTGAGGGAATGGGCGGAATGGAAGACAGCAGCACTGTTCAAATTGCCCCTGCGACTGACTTCATATCTGAGATGTCTCCTCCCTACTCCCAGTGATTCTTGTCATAAGAGGAAGAAGCTAAATTTGAAAATAGCCATTCCTTCTTGTTGGTTGACAGAGTGACCACTGGTTCTAATTTGTCCAAGACAGTCCCAATTTATACCTGTTGTCCCAACAGAATTAGTAATAATGCCCTTTTCATTTTCAGAAGGGTCCCCTGTTGTTTCCATGGATAGTGATTACCAGACCAATCTCTCTGGCAGGCATAGCAAATGAGCTAAAGATCAATGCAGACTTAAGGTGTTGGCATTTCTCTTTTCCGTGTGGTCATTCCCCATCTCGAACATATTCCATTTTCAAAGTTGAAAAAAAAAGTTGTTGATCCTTAATAAAATGGTACTCTGTTGGAGATGAGTACAAAATATTGAACAGCTACTGAATGACAGCAATTTTACTCTCCAGTATCAACCAAAGAGAAATGAAAACAAATGTCCACACAAAAACTTGTACACAAATGTACATGATTCTTAATAGAAACATTCTTAATAGCCAAAAAGTGAAGGCAACCCCAAATGTCCATTAACTGGTAAACAGATAACAAAATGTATATGCATACAAGTGAATATATTCTTCAGCAACAGAAAGGAATGAAATATTGATACATAATACAACACAGACACAATGTTAGAACTGAAAAATATAATATAAAGTGAAAGAAGCCAGTGACAAAAGACTACATCTTATGTGAAACTATTTACATGAAAATGTCTAGAATAGACAAATCTATAGAGATATAAGGTTGATTAGTGATTCTCTAAGGCTGAGAAAAGGTAAGAGAGACAAGAACAAAGAATGATTGCTGATTGGGATGGTGTTTCATTTGAGGGAAATAAAAATGTCCTGAAGATTATGGTTATGGTTGCACAGTGCTGTAAATATGCTGAAAACTATTAGACATCTAAAATTCATTAAAAAAAAAATCTGAAAGCTTTCGAATCCAAGGATTTCTGCAAATAACTAAAGTTTTATTATGCTTTTAGTCAAACTGAAGTGCTTAAGAAAGGCCCAAATGTTCAAGCCAGGATTGCACATAAGGCACAGATAAACATTCACTTGAATTAACTTTCTAATCCTGATATTTTATATCAGATGTCACAGTTCTGTTCTGAATAAAATAATCTGTGAGGAAAAAAAACAATGACATTCTATTACCTATAAATGTGTGAATTAAGAGTAGACCTCATTTATCTATTTTGCAGTCTTTTCTCTGTATTCCAACTTCAGTGACCTGAATACCACCAGGAGAATAGAGACATTTCCTGAAACTAACCTGTACTGGAGGAAGAAGAAAGGCTGCATTTACCTCAGCAGCTCTCATGCGTGTACATATGAGTGTACACGCACATACACACAGACACTCAAAAAGAGACTGAAACCTAAAATAAGGGCTGTATGGTTTATATACTGATGGAAAATGTAAATTAGTCATTTTTTCCCTATCATTCCTCTTTAGTTAATAATCACTGAAGTAACAGGTTTTTGGCTAGCACCTTAATAAAAGCTTTTATGAAACAAATTAAGATTTTTTAATCCTTGGTATGATATATGTTCAAGCTAAATGTTTAAATCAAGAACTACATTTATTCGTTTTTCAGATGTGTGTGGAGTACAATTTCAAAAAGCATTAAATACGCTACACCTTTGTTTCCATGAGGGCCATGTAAGAGATTCTGGTATAAGCAAATATGAGCACTGGAAACAGAAATATTTACTAAAAATCATGGAAGTTACTTGTTTGTATAAACAGATTTATTAAATTCAATTGATGGAGCTTTCACTACCTGAGCATCCTCTTCCAAAGTATATAAAAGATGATTATTTTTTAAAATAACCTGCTCTGAAGTATCTTACAATAGATGACTAGATAAAGAAGCTGTGGTACATATATACAATGGAATATTACTCAGCCATAAGAAGCGATGAAATACTACCATTTATGACAACATGGATGGACCATGAGATAATCATGCTAAGCAAAATAAGCCAGTGAAAACCACATGATATCATTTACATGTGGGATATAAACCTAAAAGCAACAAACAAACAGGACAGAGATTCATGGACATGGACAATAGATTAGTGGTTACTAGAGGGGAGAGAGGAGAGGGAAGGGGGGAGGAGGGAAGTAGATGGGATAAAAGGGGTCAAATATGTGGTGATAGAAAGAAATCTAACTATGAGTGATGAACACACAATGCAATATATATGTGCCTTATTGGTAAATTGTACACCTGAAACTTACTGGATTTCATTAACCAATACACTGTAAAAAAAAGACAAAAAAAACCCTGCTAAAAACTGAATAAAGTAAATGATTCATATGTCAAAAGATTTTAAGTTATTTTTAAAATAAATGTATGAAAGGATAAATTATACCACCAGTTCCATATCATTCTCTCTTAAGAATATCACTACACTGGACATTTTTGCAATCTTTGACTTCTTTTGATTATTTCCTTTGGGAAAACTTCCTGGAAATAAAAGCATTAGTGATAGGACTTTTACGGCATTTGATACAGTTTGCCAAATTGATAAAAAAAAATTTTTAAAGGGCAGGATTCTTTGCAATGTATATAAGTATATAATAAATATATATCCTGAGTTTTGCTTTTAAAGCTTCTGTATTTTGTTCAGTAACGTTTCTCAAGCATTTTTCCAGGTCATTGTAATGTAAAACATTCCTAATGGTTGTGAAATTCCACTAAAGTCTAAATATTTTAGATCTACAAGTTAGTAGTTTACGAAGAGTAAGAAAAATAAAGAAATTATCAACCATTCAACTTTCATATGACTGTTTAGTACACTTGGTTTTATAATTTTTTTAATTCACAAAAACAAATGAATTTCAAACCTGTTGAGAAGAGCTATCTAAAAAAAATAACACTAAAAATGTATTCAGAAGAAATACCTGAGACCAGTCTTGATAGGAAATACATATATTGAAGTCTTTTCTACCTTTGCAGATGGAGCAAAGAATTAATGGTACAGAGATTTGGATACCAAAAATATTCTGAAGTTCAGCTTATCAGTTCCAGGGTTAGTTAGAAGGCCAACTTCACCATCATTAAGGGAAACAGCTTCGAGTCATCATCACTATGAAGATAAAGGCATGAACGGGAAAGGGTTGACCTGCCTGATCTCAGGAATTCTGTCAATAAAGTTAAAAAGTTAGCCATCTTCTCTTATGGCCAATTTCATTCCTCTCCTATTTTAAGAATAGTACCTAAATTTCTACTACATGCTAGACTTACTTTCTGACTTATTCTCACCAGACCCATGAAGCAATGTCTTTATATTTCTGTAATTGCAGTGTAATTTGGAAAGCCTCCAAAGTTACTATCTTAGGAACTTTTTTATTAAAGCATAATCAAAGAGTTTTAAAAAACAGAAAAAGGTTGAAATAAATCGTCCTCACTCCAAGGGTTAATTTATCAAACTGTCTTTTAATAGCATTGTCTACCAGAACAAAGTAGAATTAGCAAAATATTCTTTTTAAGAGAGCCATTTGGGCAAAGAAAGAGATCTTTTTCAGAGAATATTTTGGATAAGAGAGAACAAATTCCGAACTTATTAAAATTTGAGAATATAATAGGGTAGCTCCTCTTGAATAAAAAGATTACCAAAATATGCATTTCTGTAATGATTTATAAAGTTAATTGATAAATATGTACTGAAAGAAATGGTGAAAAGAACTACTAGTATGAGATTTTAGGTATTTAAACACCTTTAGAATAAGTAAGGTTATTTTCTAAATCTTAGCTTACGAAGAATGATTGTTTATTCCCCAAAGACAAAAATTCCATTATTTCTTACAGAGGATACACCCCAAAAGTTGAATCGTTATCATATTAAATCATTATCATATAATTGAATTCATTACCATTATAATATTAATACTGGAAGACATTTTAGAGATCCAATTCAAACTTCCTCATTTTACAAATGAGGACACTACTCTAGGAAATAAGCTGCATGACTTGGTCAAATTAGTTGCTAGTAGCAGACTACTATTAGATAATGCTATAGTTGTGTGCCTTATTTGCCAAGTGAACCATGAACTCAGTAGAAGCTAACACTTCAGTAGGTATCTTCTACAGCCTCCAATTACCTGCAACACCCAGCTCAATAATTTGAAACTTTATACAAGTAAACTTGCTACCCCACGTGATAATTATGAAATAAAAAATATGTTCTATAAATCATATGTGAAAACTAGTTTCATTACTAGAGAACCCTAATCTTATTTATGTCAGTATATGGCATATCAGTCTTCTAAGATTTGAACACAAATAGTTATAATTTATAGCTTTAAAAAAAATCATGTCAGTCTTCTTGAACATTTTTAAGAATTCACAAATCACAACAGTTCAGCTCTCTAGGTTTTAAAACCCAAACTATCTTCGACTTTAAAACAAAAAAGACATATGCATAATATCTAAGCAACAAAGTTTATATTATTCTAAAGAAAAAAAATAAAGCAGTTGACAACAAAAAAAAATCATCGACATGTTTTATTGTTATTCTCATAAATCTCTAGCAATTGTAAAAACCATTCTGGGTAGTTAACAGTTTTACCCCTAAGCCTCATCATATTACTATTTTTCACAATCAGGCTTAAATTCTTAAATTAACTCCTACAATCTATCTGTTGACAAACTCAGCCTCCTCCAGCACTGAGTTTAGTAAAGAACATCGTATCTGATGTTCAGTTAGGTACAAGTATACCTAGTAATTAGCAT